ATAACAAGGATTCYCATTTGTTAGAGTCTGTAAACAAGTCAGAATGGTGCCTGGCATTTTGCCAGAGAAATGTTAGAGTCTGTAAACAGGTCAGGATGGCGCCTGGCATTTTGCCAGAGGGAGTGGTTTGTGAAGTAACRCCAGTGAGCCATTAAGTGTGGAGATTCCTTATTGGTTGACTGCTGTATCTAGTTTATGTTAATTAGATAAGCTGTGTGGAATGTATATATACCACTCCTGTCCTACAATAAACGGTTCCCACTCCTACTGTATCAATCTACACGAGTTGTTCGTCACCCCCCAGTTATTTTGCTGCAGSCGGACTCCGGCACTTATTAACTCTATGAATGTTTTGTTACATGCTTTTAAAATACTAAATTACAGTAAATAGTACCATATATAGCATTTACAAATTTGTTTTCATGTCTTAGTCATCATACATAGTGCATTTACACATTTTTATTTCTTTCAGTCCTTACCTTGGGTTCTGCACAAAATTAGAGGTTTATTCACTTCTGAGTTAGAGCAGATAAGTCCTAATTTTATTTTTAATCTCAGACAGAAATGTTAGGATACCAACAAGATCTGTCAAAAGATTATACATTATTTCCAGGTCTTAGATTTGCACTGGCAAACCTCAGTGATCATTAAATGTCAGCAACTAATTTTTCGCACTAACACCAATAATAGTAGGTCTGAACTTGTCTTCCCTCCTTTGTCTGAAAGTGAAAGTTTTAAGTTAAGTTTGAGCAAGTAAGCTGGTAATTTTCCCTCAAGTTTTAATCCATTTACTTAGGAAACTCATGCAGTTATCCTGCTCATTTTTCAACTCCATAGGGCTAGGAGAACAGAGGTAAATTTTAATAATCACATTTAGTTAATGCCTTCCCCCACTAGACATGGTTGCAGAAATGAATGCCTTGGCACATAAATAGACTCTAAAGGAAGAGAATTCTCCTTCCCAAGTAGATTAAACAGAGACAGAAGAGAAACTGAAAACAGATGTGGGATTTGCATTTGATATTCATCCTTCTCTAAAATATTTTTACTCTGGCTAACACAAAGGTTCTGTACCTGAATAAAATAGTGACACATCCTTCTTTAAAAATAATCATTGTGCTGGGGATAAAGCTCAGTTGGTAGAATGTTTGCCCCGTATGAATAAGGCCCTGGGTTCAATCCCCAGAACCATTAATAATAATATTAATATTAATAATAATAGATTTGTTAATATTCTGTAGTCCACATAATAAGGAAAATTAATTGAAAACAACATGTGGCTTACTCTCATTGAGTACCAGAGAAATGTTCCCTGAATTTTTTGATGATCCACCTACAACAACCATATGAGGCAAATACTTTTGTCAGTTAGAGAATCTGAGATTCAGATGTGGTAAATAATTTGCTTGATATCTCAAATCTTTAGTTTGAGAGCCCATGATATTAGGTACTATGTGCTCTTCCCATTCACAGTGATGCCACTGATTTCTTTACTGCTCCACTGGTATGCAYTGTCCTCTGCTTGGTCTTTTCTCTTAATGAGAATGGTCAGGAGTGTAATATAAGGTCAAACTCCACAGCACCATCCACCTACTATGCACCCCATAATCCCCTAACATTTTCACAGGAGAAAATAAGAGAAAAATAAAGAGGGTGCAAACTATTTTCCCCCTTAATTTCCCATGTTTCTGGGTCCTAGCAATCAGTCTACATATATTACTTTCTCTAGAAGCCTAAAAATAAATTTACAAGCAAAATTTGGAAAAAATACATAGGAGTCAGGACATCCTACCTGGGAATRSAAATCTTTTGCTCACCTTAATCTCCCTGGMTGGTAGAAATTTCTAATGTAAGAAATGGTCTTGGGATGAAATTAAATTAATGGTGTGGGTATAATGTGCTTATGCTACTTAAATATTTAAGGCATGAGTAGTGAGTATCTCAGTTTGGTAAAAAGATTTYTAAAAATCTTCAAAGCATGGTCTCAGAGAAAGTCTAATACAAAAACAATAGTAAATATATATTTAGAAAGAGAAACATGGCCTTAAAATAACAGTATTCCTGTAACCCCCATGGCTCAGGAAGCTGAGGCAGGAGGATCTCAAATTCAAAGTCAGCCTTAGTAGTTCAGCAAGGCACTAAGCAACTTGGAAGACTCTGTCTCAAAATTTAAAAAAATAAATAAATAAAGACAGGGGGCTGCGAATGTGGCTCAGTAGGTAAGTGATCCTGGGTTAAATTCCCAGGTTAATAATAATAATAATAGAATAAGTGTATGATTTTTGTCAAGCTAAGTATATTAAATCCAATTTATAGAAAGGCAAAAATGTGATTAAGAGTGTTGTACCAACAAAAGAATCATTAGGATGGATTAAAACAGCCAGATATTGGTCAAATTATAAAAAGGCATTGCTGGTTCTCCAGTTTTCTTCTAGCAGAATAAAGCAGAAAGCAAACTGAAGAAGCTATTCAGCTTCTAACATATCATTTTTTTCTAATGTCAAAGGGAAAACACTTTCAGCCAAGAACACAGAGTGCAGAACTACAGAMCACTGAATACCTACAGACTATTGTCAGCAAAAAGGAATCCCTTCTATTAAGCATGAAAGCACAGTAGGGTGGAGAGCAGCTTTCAAAGAATAGTACTATGCCCTAGTCATGGAATGTTCCCTTTGTCCGAAGTAGGAAAAACTGACAACAATTCTCCCTGCGAGATTTCAGAATTGTTATGGAGCAGAGACACTTATGTGCCTCTGGTTCTTCCAGTTTTTAGAATTATCTGTTGTGATCAACCTATACCTGTATCACCATTTTGTGTTAATATTTCTGTTGTAACTCCAGGTTCTGGAGTAAGAAAGTCACATTGGAGCCATATCTAGATATAATGCAAGTCATAAAGCCATACATTTTAACATTAATGCTATAATTAGAGAAGAGTTTCAGCACCCTGGAATAACAATTAAAGATGGCTGGAAGAAATAAAAATACTTATGATAGAATATTTGTAAAAGAATACAAAAACAACCGCCCACAAATTTTTTCCTGTCTTTGAACTTATACCTCTGTGATATGATTTTGCAGATCCATGTAGAAGCAGAAAGCTGTTTCTCAAATCTGGATTAGCAAACATGTGCCAAGCAAAGTCCTAAGCAATGTTTGTATATTGGGGGGGGGGCTTCCTCTCTTGCTTCTTTTTAAAACCTGCAACTATTAGAATGCAAAAGAGCCMGCAGTATTACCTTAACAGCCCTGCCAATGGTCAGAGTGTGATGCCTGTCTCACAGAAGCTGCTATCTTATTTATTGTCCATCATTTTCTTCCTGTGAGCAAGTTGCCCTACAAAGATCAGCAGTTCTATCTTGCTCTTTTCATGCCTTGACTCTTACAGTGGTGGGCAGGCACCCCACACAGGCAGGAAAAGCAACCATGATGTAGCATTGACCATGACACAACAATTTACTAAGAATCACAATTTCCTAAAGAGAGAAACCACAGCCCTCGTCAACCTCTAATCTTTATGTGTAACAAGGATAATATTTTGGCACCTTTAGACCTTATTCCTTTGTCTTATTACTCAGTTTGTCAGAACCTGTAAGGGGAAAACTGATATTATTCATTTGGCCCCTCATAGATCACCCAGCAATGAAGATGATTCTGCATTTCCCTCTTCTACACATACCATCAATTTTTAGACACTTATCTACATCCCTTAAAGGACCAATGAAGTTGCTGATGAATCATACATGTCCAACACTTATATATATTTAACTATACAGTAACATTCATTAYTGCACAATGTTAGAAGTCAAAACAGCATTTCTCCCATGCATATGGCTCTTAGGGCTTTTAAATGTCCCTTCATAGGAATTGACACAAAGGAAAACTGGAATTATGATTCTGGAAAGATGAGAATCTTTTCTCCAATACTTTTATCTAATCATTCTAAGGAATCATCAAGTTGCTTGTTTTTATTGCTTCCTATCCATCACATTAATCCTATTCAGCCCTGCTATCACCTTTGCCCTTTGCCCATAGTGGCAGGTACCATGCAGTCACTTCTCCACTGCTAGAATAAGTGTGAAGTCTGGAGTTACGATCTTCAACAAATCACAAGACAAATAAAGAAGAGAAAGACAGGTAAGGAAAGCAAATATGTTCCATCATTGGCATTATAGGTGGATGGAAGATAGCAAATAGATGCATCAATTAGAAGTAGTTACTTGTCTGTCTTGGTTAGTGAAGATCCTGAACACCCACAGCAAGAGGAACAGAGAAACTTATCTACTGAAGGATGAAAGAAAAAAAAATATCATTCTGATGGTTCGGGCTAGACCCCAGTCTCACCTTGATTAGTAGTCCCATAAGTGTGTTCTTAGAATTGACACCTAATTGTGTTTCCATATATGTGGCAAGTATTCAGCAAAAAGACAAAGGAACACTAGTAATATTCAATGATAATATTTATCATAGCCTTGTTACTATTTCTTATACTTGCTAGAAGTTAGTTATACTCCATGGAAGTAAACAAGAAGGGGTCTGGGATATTGCCCATATACTTATCTTTTAGGACACACCTAATGKAACCCCAAGCTAAAGAGTCCACTGGTTTACATGCAGACAATTCCCAGGTAATTGCAGAGGCACTGAGTGCTCAGAGCCTTTGTCCAGCTGGCCTCTTGCTTTGCTGGCACTCCTGGCTGACTGGCTGGCTTTGCTGATAGTGCAAGTCAAGGGATTATTAGATTGACCACATGCCCTCCGCTTTTGTGTCTTTGTTTTTGTTTTCTTTTGGGACAGAGATAGGAAAGTTGACTGGGGCCCCAGAGATCTATGAAAAAAAAAAAGATAGAAAAGGAGGAGGGGAGAGAAATTTGCAATGATAACTGTTTTCTGCTCTAAGAGTCATGAGAGAATATAGGAGTTTGATTCTGGCAGAAGTGAACCAGCAACGTGGGTCAAGAATTAATCCACAGGGATGCCAGGATAGCATCTCCTGAGACATGTCTCTAAATTACATCAAAAACTTCTATGAAGGATGTGTAAGTATTATACTAAAAAATAATCAATTTTTATGATATTTGTCTGTGTTTATTGACCTGATTTGCATGAGTGGTGATAGGTAAGTTCCTCTATGTTTATGGTGAATAATATAAATAACAACCTTATACTTCAAAATATTCTGAAGTTAAATCTATAAATAGAAGAATTCAGTATGTACCTTTAGATGTTGATGTCTTAAAGTGATTCATTCTTTGAATTCCATAATTAAGAAGTCAAAAAACTTGTAGTGACAACTAAATAAACAATATTTAAGATAGTGTTTAATATTCAATCTGTCATCTAATTTTCCAAAGGGATTAGAGGGGAAGAGGATATTAATTGAACTCAAAGCTGCTTAAAATATTTTTTAAAATTACACATTTCATTGACAATATGTCCCTATTTGACTGTTGCATTTCATATTTTGAGGGTGAAAAGGCATGAGAAATCTCATAATACAGGCATTGTATTTGTCTGATGATTGCTACAAATCTATCTTGCTTCAAAACTTCTTGAACCTGAAGTTTTAAAAATGTGATCATGAGAACATCTTTTAGAGTATTCCTTTATTAATGTTTATTTTCAATGACCTTTTTCCTCCTGAAACTATAAAAGGTTAAACCTCCGACTGTGATTGGTCAATTCCACACACTTTTCTTTGGATCTGTCCGAATGTTCTTCCTGGGAGTGTTAGGTTTTGCAGTTTATGGGAATGAGGCTCTGCACTTCAGCTGTGATCCAGACAAAAGAGACATAAACCTTTTCTGCTACAATCAATTCAGGCCGATCACTCCACAAGTAAGTTTTTCTGTGAGCACATTAACGTTGACTCCACAACACAAAATTTTTTTTAAAGTAAAATAATATCAGTAAAAGGAGTACTTCAACAGGCATGGTTTCCAGAATTAATATTACTTTTTCTCTCATTAGCTGTGTATTCAGAAATTCTATTATCTATTGATACTAAAATTATACTCCAGATTTGTATTTAGAATATAGAAATTAAGTAGCTACTAAAATTAAGTAATTCATAGTTGACAGGTAAAATATCATCATATTTTAACAATTACTGTGTTTAAGGTTTTAAATGTCCTAGTAATTAAATATGATATGTCAAACATTGCTGTGCTTATGATCTTCTATTTACTGTTTGTAAGATTTCTATGAAACTTAGAATTTTTAATTTAGCTTCTGTCGAGAATCGGCATTTTTTAGGGTATTTTTGGTTATATATTGATCCATTGATTTGACTAAGATATTTCTGACATACATTAGGTATTCTGGGCATTACAACTAGTGATTGTCCTGGTTCCTGGAGCTATTTTCCATCTTTATGCTGCATGTAAAAGCATCAATCAAGAATGTATTCTTCAAAAGCCCATCTACACTGTGATCTACATCTTCTCAGTTTTATTAAGAATTACTCTAGAGGTGATAGCATTTTGGCTTCAGATTCGCCTCTTTGGTTTCCAAGTAAAACCACTTTACTTGTGTGATGCTGCATCTCTTGGGAAAAAAATGACTATTATAAAATGCATGGTTCCAGAACATGTTGAAAAGACCATTTTTCTCATTGCAATGTATACATTTACTGTAATCACAGTGGTATTATGTGTCGCTGAGGTTTTTGAGATTGTATTTAGAAGATTATGTTTTCTAATTAGGCAATGACAAGGGTTAATCATGCCATAGTTATGCATCATTTTTATTGAGTTTCATCTTATTCAGTAAGTACCTCAATTTCAAATATAAATATATGTTCTTAAAATTTACTTTGGTGTGTCTGAAATTTATGTCTACTATAAAGTATAATACTAAGTTCTAAGACAGAGATTGTTGAACAAATGTTTCATTCTATTTTAATTTTAGCATTTATTTTATTATAAAATATATAGAAAACTAAGGTCAACTCATCAACATTATTTAATTATCTCTTCCCTCACAAACAACATCTTAGTTGATCAGATCATTTTGTGGCTAAACTTTCATTATCTTTTAGCATACTGAAAATTAATGTTTAGAGATGGTAATTTAGGTGTTCAAAGTCATAGAAACTAGAATCCAGATCTTCCTATTTCCCTTTCTTCTGAATCATGCAGTTTTAACTTTGAGGATGTAACTATTTTTGCATTCATATAAAATATAACTTACTGAAACAAAAAAGTTATAATTATTGAAGGAGTAATTCCATAGTTTGATCACTAACTTGAAGAAATGGAGCAATTACATTTTTAATACTTACATTGTTTTCTTGAAATTTTTAATATTAAATGATTTGGAAATATAACCACCAAATAAATTTAAAATTTTATGAATATTATTGTGCATGGTTTCCTCTTTTCTTGTTGTTCCCGTAAGTATCAAGTAAAAATAACCTTTACTTGATTGAAATAAAAATTATGTTTACATTAAGTTAGACTTCCTCCATAGCTATAAAAGTATTTAAAATAATTTCATATTGATTTATGCCTTTCTGTCTGCCTGTCTTACCAATAGTCATCTTCATTTTATATCATTTAAAATCCTTATGTAATATTGCCTTACATTGTTGTCTTATTAGAGAAATAGCCATATCAACCAAATACTGAGGATTTTAGTATTTTATTAAGCATTATTGAGCCTATGTTTACTATTATGAATTTCTGGGTTTAATTTTTTTACATCATTAAGCTTTCTCTATACGAAAGCATAGGAGTAAATATAACTTTCCTTCATTCAATAAGTAGCTATTGAATAGCTAGTTTTAACATGTACTGCATTGGGAATTCATTTAAAAAGATAGTTGAAATTTAGTATCTATATGAGAACACATTCTAATGAGCAGTCTAGTACCAAGCCAAGATAGTGAGGACTGGAATAATAACTTACCCTAAAGAAAAATAATATTTATTTATTGTCTTTGTTTAAGATATCTGATCTTTGGTATCAATAAACCAAAATATTAAATTATTATTATTATTATTATATTTAAATTATCTAAGATAACATACCCCTTTATTGCTTATATCCAAATTGAACTGTTCCCACCAATCTGCCCACAAAGATACACATATTATTATGAGTCATATTTTCTTTCCCACAACTTGGCAAGGCTGCTAATCATCAATTGGATGTCAGTCATAGTGTCTTCTACCTTGTTGGATGCTAAATAGTTTTCTATTGAGAGATATTCCTAATGTTTCTTCTGGAACATAGTTACGTTACTTGAAAATGGTAGTTGCCTCTGCTTCCTTTTAAATTTTGTTAGATGGGACCAGTATAGTCCTTAYTTTGCCCAGTGACAAAGGCAAAAACCTTTCTGAGTGCCCTATGAGGTGTCCTTTTAATGGTTAGGAAATGTTTTCCTTCCACTACTTAAAATCCTAAGTAGCATCCTCACACTGGTTGACCCATGGCTGCCGAATAAACTGTTGCATTTGCAGGGACAGGTCCTCATTGTGCCCAAGGAAAAGAATGAATGCACAACGGGGAAAAGGACTTCTTCCTGGTTTGCCTCTCATTATTATCCTTTGGGAAGATCATGTTTTCAAAAAAAAAAAAAAAAAGGGCACAGCCGATTTTCTCTTAATGTATGCCCATTCATACACAAATATTTTGATTTATTTTTTTATTTAATTCATCCTTTAAAGTTGGGCATTGTCAAAGTTGCCCCTTCAATAAGAGATTTTTCCACTCTCACTGTTGGGAACAGCAACGATTTTCAGTCCTGTGTACATCTCAGGTATTGTTCCTTTGAATCCTTTTAAGCAGTGCTTGCCAGAAAAATATGTTTGAAGATGTTACTCTACCCAAAACTCAGCTGAAGACCTTTGCAGATCTCAGGTGTCTTGCTTTGTGGCTTCACCTCTAACTACAACAGTGTGGCCTTTGAATTCCATCCTCTGTGGCCTTCTTGGACTGTTTCTCCTCTACTGACAATGTAGACAGATGGATTTATGAGCCCACAAAGGAACCCTGCTTATCTCTACGTCTTTTAAGAAAACAGCACTGCAAAAGTTGGAACATGTCTCCCAAAGTTCATGTGGTAGATACTTATTCCTTAATACAACAGTATTGAAAAGAGAGATCTTTATTAGGTCATGAGGGCCTGGCTCACATGAATGGATCCATGTTGTTATCAGGGAGAGGGCTTGTTATCAGAAGAGTGAATTTGTTATTTAAGCAAGTTAGGTCTTTTGCTCTCTCACCATGTGATTGACTCCTTTTCCCATAAAGGTCATCTCCTGATGCCAGATCTCTGTTCTTGGAATTCTCAACCTGCAGAATTCCAAGAAATAAATTTCTTTTCTTTATGAATTACCCAGTCTGTGATATTTTATTATAGCAAGAAAAAAAATGAAACAAGACAAATATAAATTGTCATGTTTAAAGATAGAGATAAGGTGAGAATTTGGACAATCTTTTTAATTTCTTACTGAACCACTGTTCTATTATTTCATTTTGTAGTACCTACATCAGGATTGTTAGCAAACAGTATATTGTCCTGGATAATAAATGTTATATGTAAAAAAATTGAGATTTAAATATAAAAATTCATTTTCTGGCCAAAATGAAAATATAGTAAACCTAAAAAGAACAGTTTCACTAAAACGAAACAAATTGGCTGGTGTGGTGGCTCATGCCTATAATCCAAGTTGCTAGGGAAGCTGAGACAGGAGGATAGTGAGTTCAAAGCCAGACTCAGCAAAGGCGAAGCACTAAGCAACTCAGTGAGAACCTATCTCTAAATAAAATACAAAACAGGGCTGGTAATGTGGCTCAACCTGAGTTCAAATTCCAGTACAAAAAAAAAAAAAACTAAGCTAAACAAATTATATCTATTCGAAAAGATATTTTAAACTATTTATATAAAAAGCTCTTGAACCAAATAAATAATTTAAACTAAAGTTTTTCAGACTATTTATATATGAACAATAGGCAGAATATTACATATAAAAATGCATGAGCTATAACTAAATTTGTAGTGCTTAGAAAATGGACAGCAGAAAATAAGTCAATAATGAACACAGAAACAATAAAGGTAATTCAAAAACAAACTTAAGATCTTCCAAATAAAAATAAGAACAAAGATAGTTTTTAAATGATGTAGGCAGATAGTTATAAATTATAAAACAAATGATATAGAATAAATAAATCCAAAATGGCTGTGGAAAATAACAATAAAATAGATAAGACTCTGACAAATCAATTTAAGTATAGAAGTATACTACTATAATATTCATAAATATATATGTAAGTTATATATTGTCATTGGCAGATATTGTGAAGATTTTAAAGATATATTATATATGATATAAAATATAATACAACCAACAAATCAAATCAACAAAATTTTGGTTAAGAAGCCAACAAAGAAAATTAAATAGAAATTAAGTAGAATCATAAAACATTAATCATAAAACACTCACTTAATATCACTTAATATCAAAGTGAATTCCCATAATTTTGTTTGTATTATCATTTCATTTTCACTTGCAAAAAAAGAAAAAAATAAGACAAATAGAAAACAACAAGAAGTTAGTAGACTTAAACCCAAACACATCAACAGCTACAATAAATATAAAAGATTTTGAAATTCTATATAAAAACAGAGATTATCTATCTTAATGTATTTTTTAAATTGAGACAAAATTATTAACAGGAACCCCATTTTAAACATTTTAAAATATTTAATATTCAAAACATTTAAATATAGATGGTTAAAAAAAAAAGTTATATCATGAAACACTAAACATCAGAGAGCTCAATTGGCTATATTAATAAGAAAAAACCCAAGCAAATTTCAGGGCAAGAAATAATAACAGGAATTTAAAAAACATTTCATTTATATATATATATATATATATATATATATATATATATATTACTAATAACCAACTTGAACCTATTGATTCTTATACACAACTCCTTACAATGCCAGAAGAATATATATTCTCTTCAAGTGTTATGCAAAACATTCACAGAGAGATCATTGCTTGGCCATAAGATGTCATAAGGTTGGAAATCATACAGAATACGTTTATTGATAACAATGGAATTAAACTAGAAATCAACAAAAATAACAAGAATATGCCCAAATGTTTGAAAAAGTAATGATGCACTTTTATTAATCCATGGATCAAAGAATAAATTACAATGGAAATTAAAAACAAAATGATAATACAAACACAATTTATTAAAAGAAAAATTGTAGGAAGCATTAAAACAGTGTTTAGCAGAATACTGAAAGTTTGTTCTAAATATTACATTTGAAAAAAAATTATAAAATAGTTTAAGCATCTCATATTATGAAATTAGAAATATGATAATTTAAATATAAATTAAATAGAAGAATGGGGGAAAAAGCATATAAAACATAGAGATAGAAACTGAAAGATAATAAAGAAAATTCATTAAACAAAAAGCTGGTTCATTGAAATCTTCATAAAACTAATAGATTTTAAAGTAGACCATTATAGATAATACAGGATATATAAAAAATTATCCATACAATGAAGGTAAAAAAGGGATTTCATGATAGGACATTAAAATGATTATAAGGACTCTTGAATAATGTATAACAATAAGTTTTGTACTTGGATAAGATGGAAAAATTCCTTGAAACACATTTTCCTAAAAGCTGATTCAACAGAAAACAATTAGTATAAATAGAAGAAACATCCCTGAATCTATTAAAGAAATCAATTTTAAATCCAAACCCTTTTCAAGAAGAAAACTGCGGGTTCACATGAACTTGCTTGTAATTCTATCAAATGTTTAGAAAGAAATCATACTCCAAGATCTCTTTTGGAAATGAAGAGGGAATATTTCCCATTTCATTTAATGAAACCAGCATATCTTTGATTTTAAAAAATCTTAGCAAAAGTGTATTAACAAATGTAATCCCTCTATGTATGTGCAGATAATACATTATGTTCAAGTGCAGTTTAATGCCAGGAATGAGAGTTTAACACTGTAAATCAATTAATGTAATTGAACTGTATTAAATGAATGAAGAAGTCCACAGATATCTTAATAGATACATATAAAGGCATTCGATTAAATTTAACACCCACTTATGAGGAAACAAATGATTCAAGCTTTTCATTCTAAAAAAGAATTACCTAAATTTAATAAAAGCATCTTAGGAAATCTTCAGTAAACATCTCATTTAATATGAACAGAATGAATAATTTTTCCTATAATCTGGAAAAAGGCAAGGATATCCACTTTTATCACTTCTATTTCATGTTGAACTAGAATTCAATGAAAGAAATCAAAAAAAGCAAAATATATACTTGAACATACATTTATTCAATAAATAAAGCAAACAAAGCAAAACACAAATTGGAAAAAAGAAAATTATCTTTACTCATAATAAAGCACATAAAAAATTCTAAAGAATGTACAAAACCCTACTTGAATAATGAAATTTATCAAAGTTAACATTTCTGCAGAATATTTCAAACAAAAAAATTTAATGTTGAAAATCTTAATCATTTTTAACTTCAATCACTTCAAATTGATCTATAAATTCACTATAATTCCAGTCAAAATCCAGCAAATTTTTGTAGAAATTGACAAATTGTTTCTAAAATTTATGTGGAAATACAATAGACCTAAAATACCTCATGCAATTGTGAAAAAGTAAAATAAGAAGGGGGACTTATACCAAATATTCTCAAGTTTTCTTTAAAGCTATATTAAGCAGAATCTGAAGCTGGAAAGAGGATAAGCATCCTAAATAGGAACAACAGAGGGAGCACAAATAATTCAGCATATACACGTTAATTCTTTCTAAATGTATTCATGTAATTCAATGATGCTGTAGAACTAACTATGCATGTTGAAAATGTAAACTGTAACTTTTATGGTTTCAAAATGTCACAGCCATAGCAGAGTAAATGTGCCTATCCCAGTTTTCAGGATCTTCCCTTATTTTTCTGATAAATTTTTTTCTAACAAGAAACATCTTTATTTGGGGGGATTCCAACAAATTAGGATGTGAGTCTCATGATATTTGGATGGGGGTAACACATGCAGGATACCCAAAAGATATAGCTACAGATATAACTCTTACTACATTGATTGATTTGTCTTTTACCATCAAATTAATTCTGACCACAATGGAATAGAAACTTTTACTGTGAGGTGAACATACATACACAAGGAGTCCAGTGGGCATGCAAAACTTTTAACTTTTCCCATTGAAATATGGTTCAGTTCTAATTTCTCTCCCTTTTCTTCTTCCCCTAGTCACCCTCACCCCCATCTCACTCTGCATCTCTACCAACCCCTCACTTACCAAGGTCTTGGAAAGTAAGGGCAGATCCCTCCGAAACTGGCCAGACAGAAGGGGAATTTAGGCAAAATATCATAGTAAGTTCTTCATATAGTAAAAGAAGAACAACAAACATCACTGTTGTTAATATTTGTTTCATCTCATCGCATAATTCCAAAGTGCTGTAGTGCTAACACAGTCTGAACTTATCTTTTTTTCTTATTTATTCATTTAGTTTTCCTTTTTGTTAAAATTTGTTCTAATTAGTTATACATGGCAGCTTAAAGCATTTTGGTTCAATGTACACAAATGGAGCACAACTTTTCATTTCTTTGGTTGTACATGATGTAGAGTTGCACTATATGTGCAGTCATACATGTACCTAGAGTAATGATGTCCATCTCATTCCACCATCTTTCCTACCCCCACGCCTCTCCCTCCCCTTTGCCCAAAGTTCCTCTATTCTTTCCAGGGCACCCCATCATATCAATTATTCTCTCATGAAGGTATACAGTTAAGAAAAAAGACAGTTGTGTGTTGATACAATGGGGCAAAAGACAATTCCATCCCTTTCACATATTTGTTTACCCCTAACACCTTTCCAACCTGCCCACATAAGCAAATGAAGGACTGGAAAATTGGGGTCCCAAAGGGAGAGGTCAGGAAATAACCGGAAGGTGCAGCCTTCACAAGAAAGAGGATGATGGAATAGGATAATGGAACAGAGCAAAGATAAAATACAAGAATATATTGCTCTACCGAGACAACCCAGTCCAGTGGTAATGGTTAGGTACACAGGTTCTGAAAGCAAAACACTTAGATTTCAATGTTAAACACTCATCCTTACTGACTGTGACTTGTGCAAATTACCTAAACTCTGTGACCTATTTTCTCATCTGTAAAATAATTATGATATCTGCCTTACAGGTTATGGTGAAATTAAATAAATTAATAGAAAGACACTAGCAACATGCATGATATGTAGTAGAGGCTCAGCAAATGCTAGCTACAATTACTTTGAGTTGTGACAGAGGGAAGGTGAAAGAATTCGTATCTGTGCCCTCATAGTAGGAAGTAAATTGTTCGTCAAAGCAATTAGGGCAGAAGTCCTGACTTGAAAAAAGTAGGCAAATCTTGAAATATTATCTATGAACACTCACTAGGGCACTGGTCCTTGACTCTAGTACATGCACCATTAAAATTTCATTAGGACCTTTTAAAATACTGATATATAGGATACAACCCAGAACAATTGAATATGAATGACTAGGGGTTAGTACCTGGATACAATCCTTTTTAAAAGCTTCTAAATAGATCTTTAAGGGTAGCCACAGTTGAAAATGAAGAAGTTATAGGTAAATAATAAATGACAAGTTGTGTGGTTGGAAAGAAGACATATATAGGTTCCAGTCTGTGTTTCTTCATTGATTTCTCTACTGACCCAGAAACTTTAAGAAGTCAAGAGAGGTGAAAAGAGAAAGACAAAGAAAAAATACAATCTCAAGATGTCATTTGAGAATGTATTGCTGAGATTGGTGAAGGGTACAGAAATCTGTTCATGCTGGGTAAAAAACCAAACCCACAGTGATACCATGAATTCTGCAAACAATGAATGCAGAGTGTAATAATATAAAGATGTGGAATGAGTTATTGGTGGTAGGGAGAGGGGAGTAATTTAAAAAATTGTAGGCAAAGAGAAATTCTAGAGCTTGAGAGTGTGGTTCTTGAAAATAATAGGATTTCAATGGAAATGAGTTTTAAGAAAAATCCTCAAAACTGGGGACTGAGACAAAGCAAAGATGCAGGTTGTTAAAGGAGGTAAATAAAACGTAAAGTCTTGAAGTATGATTTTATGTGATGAAAATGAAAGCAAAGAGAATTGAGATCACTGATGGTAGAAAGAAAGGCTGATGCCTGTTGCACCACGGTATGAGACAACAGCATTGAATAAGTCCCCAACACTCTGTATAGAGAACAAGATAATGAATGTGAAAATACTTTGCAAATTGCTAATCATTCTTCAGTAATAGCAGTCTACAGAACATTCATTCACTAAAAATACTCACTAGCAAGTTCACAACAGAAGTTTGATTTTCTTTTAGCTTCATGCATTTAGTATTTATGTTGAAAAAATCTGGTTATTTTATCCAATGTATCAACACAGAATTTTCAAATTTAAAATTTAAACTCACAATTTCTCTTCTCATGCAATAATGTAAATTAAAATTCTAATCAAAAAAGGTTACTACGGACACTATTAAGATTACTTGAGGAAATAAATGAAAGGGATAAATGCTGAATGGTGCCAAAAGCAATTGGGCTTTTACTCTTTCTCCCAGTCAATAAACATTACTTTCTTGTTTTTCCCTTTGTTATCTCTCCTTTTGCCACTAGCCAAATCAACAAACGAAAAAAGCAAAACAAAACAACTCTTCTTCTTTCTACCAGCAGAGGGCGCCGGTGTCATGTACAACATCGCTGCCGAGGCGCTCAGCCCTCTTTGGGCTATAAACGCCAAGAGCCAGGCGCGCACTGCTTGTCCCTACTGAGCATCCGTAGTTGACTTGACGTCGCTGAGCAACGAAAGATAGACTGGGATGTGCCCGACGCTCGCGCGCGCGACCGCCCAAACGGAAGCGGAAGTGTCGGTGACGCGCGAGTAGGAAGAGGTGATTCCTGGAGTAGAGATGGCTGCTCTTGCACCCCTGCCCCCGCTCCCCCCCCAATTTAAGAGCATACAGCATCATCTGAGGACCGCTCAGGAGCATGACAAGCGGGACCCTGTGGTGGCCTATTACTGTGAGTCTTTCCGAGTCGCCGCGCCCCTCCCCTCTCAGTTACACCCGGGGCCCACAGGCCACACAGGGTTCTCGGGGCACGCCCCGCCCCCCGGCTTTCGACCTGAGCTTTGACCTCTGGGAACACCTGGGTCCCCGCCCTTCTCAGGGAGCCAGACCTTTTCACAAGCCCCAGAGTGGCCCAAACTCCAAAAGCACCATAGTGTCCACCGCCTCTCCCGTTTCTTTCTGCTGCGTTCCAGAACTGACTAAAGGGGTTGATGAACTCTGGAACACACCCCCAGGTTTTCTGAGCTTCCTGCCCCCTGGAAATAGTCTGCATAGTTGAGTAACTGAGATGAGGTTAAAACAAAAAAGTGTCTCAAAGCTCGTAGTGATTTGGATAAAAAGGAAGATAGACTCTGAAAATGGGGTAAGTGCAGGTTGGTTTTGACAGCACTCAGGTCCAGTGCAGAATTCGTAAATGGTAATTAGAGAGTATATCCTACTAAACAGTTGAATTTGACAATTCCTGTTTCGCCTCCCAACTGCTCTTTCCCACCAATGGCAGTATTTACTCCTAGCTTCTTTTTCTAGTTGAAAAGTTTGTTAGCAGTATTCCCACTTTGTGTTACCTATTGTGTATCTAGAGCTTATGGGAAAACAGGTTAAGTTTGTTTAGACTTTTTCCTTTACATTAGTTAAAGAGAATAGTGTGGGTATTTTTATATAAACTTTATTATATATTTGGTACTCCAAATACAACAAGTGACCTACTAATAAATCTTCTAAAAGGTTTTTTAGAGTGGAGAAGCTCTGTATATGTCCTCTGTTGTTGACATTGTAAGGTCAGCTAAAATCTGATCATCTCTACTGTACTCCACATATACCCCATTCCCAAATGTCCCAGAATGCCCCCTTTTTTCTCTGCTTGGCAGACTCCTGATTTAAGATGCAACTCAATTTTTACCTCTTCTGTAGGCAGTAAATTGATTATACTCTATGCCTGACTTCATTTTGTTAAAATGTTACAGCATTGTTTTCACTATACTTCTTTAAGCAGGAACCATTAATCATTCATTTCGCATGTATTTGTTGAGCTTTTATCTTTTACCAAGAATTACTGAAAACCTTAACTGCAGTCCAAATTCACGAACCTTACATACAATGGGAGTAAGGAAGTTAAACAATCAAATATATGTGCTATACAATATTAGAAGATAATGAATAAAAATAAGGCAGAGAAAGGAAATAGAGAGTACTAGAGTGGTGATAGAGAGTGTGAAGGGGATTTTAGTTTCAAATTGGTCAGAGATCACACCTGAGTTGACATTTGATGAAAGGAAGGATTGGAAAGCAACTCTTCATGTACATTTGGGAAGGAGTATTCTTTATAGAGGGATTGAAGTATAAAAATCCTTAGGCAGAGGCCTGCTTGAAGGAAGAGTAAGGACACCATTGTGACTGGAGTGGATAGAACTAGAGGAAAATGATAGGAGAACAACAAAGAAGTACTCTCTCATAACAGTGAAATAGGAACCCTCGTTCTCATCTAAAATTAATCCTTATTCATGAGTTATTTTGTACCTTTGTGACCGCCCCAGACTCTTTATTTCCAATGTGATTATCCTTACCCTTTTGTTATTTCTTTCTAAGCCTGTCTGATTTTCTTTATTCAAAAAATAAAAACAACAGAAACTTTCACCAGGACTTCCCCCTGAAGCTGCAGCTCTATCTACCCAACCCCATACATAAGCTTGAATTGTCTATAGTCTGTAGTTGCCTTTATATTCTTAAAGAGCCTTTTCAGCCCATTGCAGTCTAGTTTTCATCCCCACTATTTCACTGAAATGGCTCTCCCCAGGGTGATGAACACACATTTTATTGCAAAGTCCAGTTATTAATAAAATTTTTCATATATAAGAACATGCATAATGTGCATACTGAGTTTAAGGAATAATAAAATGAACGTTAATGTACTCATCATGTTTGATGTTATTAGACTTTTTAATTCTTACAAATCTGGTGGGGGTGAGTGGTGTCTCATTGGAATTATATTTGCAATTCCCTGAGTCTTAATGATGTTCAACATCTTTTCATATGTTAATTACCCATATGTGATTTCCCCTTTGAAATGCCCATTTACCACTTTTGCCCTTTTATCTATTGTACTGTCTTTTCTTGATAATATATACATTAATGCTTTGCTATTTGTGTTGCAGATGTCTTCTCCAGTTCATAGTTTGATTTTTTTCTATGAAATTCTTTTTCAAAAATTCAGTTTTAAACTATTAATTATCAGTCTCTTGCTTTATGGTTTACATTCTAATTTTCTAGGCCTGTATTTATCTATTTATTTATTTATTTCTGTCTACTTGTTTGGGACTTTTAGCTTCCTGAGTCTGTAGATAGATACCTTTCATCAGTTTTAGAAAAATATTTAGAATCTATTCAGATATTACTTCTACTTTCTCTCTGTTCCCTAGTGAAACTGATTAATGTTGCACTTTCCCTCTTTAACTTCTTTGTTCTTAATTCTTCCACAATTTTTCATTTTTGTTTGTTCTACATTCTGTTGATTTTTTTTGGAGGCCTGTCTTCATCTCCATGAACCTTATTATTTATCCCATTTATTGAGTTTACATTTATTTTTTGTTTCCAGATTGTTTTGTATGGGTACATATTGAATTCCAACTCCTAATATAGTAACTAAGATAGTGAATACTTGTAAATTTTTTGTTTTTTGAATGAATAAATTATACAGCAGTTTGTTACTTTTTAAGATGCTATCCCTAATTAATTATCCCTAATTATTAAGGACATGTAATAGTATCCCAATATGTGTATTTTATAATTCATATATATCATATATACATCTCTCTTTTAAGGATAATGCCTCATGTTAAAAACTGTTCTGTGCTGCAGTGTTCCAGATTCCCAAAATGGAAAAAAAAAACCTCATCAAATGACCTTAACTGTTCATAAGTAAAGAATATCATTCTAAGTTAATAGGGAAGGGGAAAAAAAAGACTATTTCAGATAGTTTTGTTACCACTGATATTTTTTAAATACTCTTTTTACTTTGAATAATTCAAATGTTTGTATTTGCCATCTGATGATTGCTTTAGCTGCTGTATTTGTGGATCTTACTCTGCTGTTCAACAGAACACTAATCAAGATTTCTTTTCTGGTAATTGTCCATTAAGCATACATAACCAGCACTTTTCAAACTGGGGATTCTATAATATTCTTCGAAGTCTAAAGGAATCAATTTTCCAATTCACAACTTCCAAGCTCTTTTTCTAAGATTGTTCTTCCTGGCAAGTGCTTTTGATCAGGAAAGCAAAGTATGCCACTGTCTTTGCCTACATCCTGTTTCTAGTTGCCTTTCTATTTTAACAAAGAAATGTATATTGTCAGATTTCTTATTGTTATGGTATATTGCCCTGAGGGAGAAGGTAGAAAATCCAAAGTGTCTAGAAAAATGAGACAGTTCAAATTGCTGGTGTTAGTGAAGCCTCTATTAATTAAGATAATAGGTAGAGCTTCTTGTCTTTCCCTGTCTTGTAGGGAAGAAAATTAACTAGAGCAATGATTAAGCCCTTATTTTAAAATACTGGTCATGAAATTTTTTTAAAAAATCTAGTTTGAGGAAAGAGGGTAGAACATTGTGTTAGCAGGATGCAGGGGGTCACCTTGAGTTTTTCTCTTTTGGGGAACAGTTGAACAAGAATGAATCTCAAAAGAGGCAGAAATTGTTCTGGAATATTAGCACCCACATTTTCGATTTTATCAAGTGGGCTAGCAGGAGTGGTTTGGGGCCTAGGTCATGCATAAGAGGGTTTGGGGAGGGAGCTTTGGGAAAATTACTTGCAAGGGCCAGAGGGGGAAATTCTCCTGCTTTTAGGGGTAATGCTTCATTTTAAACACTGTCCTGTGTTGCAGTGTTCCAAATTCTCAAAATGATATGAATTTTCATTAGATGACCTTATTGCTGCATGCTTTGTTCATTAATTCCTAAATTGAGAGCAACACATAACAATCAAAAGAAAAATACCAAAGCAAAAGTTCTCTGTTTCATCCAAACAACAAGCTCCTCTAGGGGCTCTGTGGCTTCTTGCTCTATTGAATTAGAATTTAGAAAAGGGATGGTTGATATTCCAGTTGGAATATTAAGTTATATTTTTCTGAAAAAGTAGTTTGGCATTAACAACAGGCTTTGCCATTTATCTAATATGTTAGACATTTCTCCTTAAACTAATGAGCTAAATCTTTGGCTCTGAGGTTCTCTTGTCTAGTTTTGTTTTTATTTGTTTATGCTTTGTTTTGTTTAAACAAAAATATATTTGAAACAGATGATGGGATAAAAACACTTAAGCCTTTTTTTTTTTTGCAAAACCATGTTGAAATTAATGTTTTTAACTGTGTCATACAATAAACAAGAAGACTGATTCAAGGGAAACGATGAATCTTTGTAATAAATATCATTTTTGTATATGTCATAGAAATTGAGAAAATGAGTTACTGGAATGGTAGCCTAACAAATCCATTTCTAGTTTTTAAAGAAATTTTGAAACACGCCTAATTCAGTTGTCAACCAAGATATTATTAAAAATATTGTTTGAAGGGAGGTAATTATACGGTTTTTAGCATATAAACCAGAAGGAATTTAAATGATTCAAGGATTTTTTTGTGACAAACTCTTTTCATTCTCTTCTTTTTATGTGAATTGTTTCTTCCATGTTAAATTCATAAAAAAGTATTAATCATATTAATTTGATTTAACTGATTATATAAGACACATTTCCAATAAAAATTTATTTTTTATATTTAACACTAAAATGTACAATATGTATTTGTGTGGTTGTCAATTATATATTAACAATACTTGTAAAGACTCAAAATACTTTATTTCATGGAAATTTTGTAAATTTTTTAACACTTTTTGTTGCAGAAGTATAAAGGAGAACCAAGAATGGACTCTTAAGCATACAAATGCATCCTTTATTGTGAAATTCTACA